ATCCAGGTATAGACCAGGCTCAGCCCTGCTTAGCTTCAGTGAGTAACCAGTCTTGGGCTGCAGGGTGATATGGCTGCGGCTAGCAACTGCATATCATTGCATTGAAATAATTAAGAACAAAAACAAAATAGCAACACCCTGGTAACCAGCAGAAAACCCTAGCAACACACTAAAAACACCACACTTTAGAAACCTTAAAGAAATATTAAAGCTCTTGCAAACAACCCCGGTCAACTTTAACACTAAAAATGGTGCTTTCTCTCCATTAAAAAAAAAAAAAAAACTTTCATAATCTTGCTTGCATTAGATGAGGTGGCTCAAAGCAGTGCTGGAGAGCTGTGTTGTGGCTCATGAGATGATTGTTTCCTGATGCCAAGAAATCTCACTGCTCAAAGGTTGTGCTCTATATGCATCATTCATGTGTTTTGAGCGGTCGTTGTATGCATATACCCAATAACCTCGTAAGTAGGGCTAATCTTACTCTCTCTGTACTGAAATGAATCAAACCGATGTGTTTTATTCAGTGATTCTCTGCCAAAAATCTTTATTCAAACACAGGCGCAGAGAGACAATGAGTCTGGACAGACTGATATGATGATGGATGGATGGATGGATGGATGGATGGATGGATGGATGGATGGATGGATGGATGGATGGATAGCCAGAATGATATAACGATGAATGGATGGATAGATGGATGGATGGATGGATGGACGGACGGACAGACGGACGGACGGACATATAGATAGATAGATAGATAGATAGATAGATAGATAGATAGATAGATAGATAGATAGATAGATAGATAGATAGATAGATAGATAGATAGATAGATAGATAGATAGATACTATGAATGGATGAATGAAAGGATGGATGGATGGATGGATGGATGGATGGATATACAGACAGACAGACAGACTGATATAACAATGAATGGATGGATGGATAGATAGAAAGATAGATAGACAGAACAGACAGAATGATATAATGATATATAATGATATAATGATGGATGGATGGATGGATGGATGGATAGATGGATGAATAGATAGATAGACAGACAGAATCATATAACGATGGATGGATGGATGGATGGATGGATGGATGGATGGATGGATGGATGGATGGACAAAATTATATAACAATGGATGGATGGATGGATGGATGGATGGATGGATGGATGGATGGATGGATGGATGGATGGATGGATGGATGGATGGATAGAGACAGACAGAATGATATAACGATGGATGGATAGATGGATGGATGGATGGATGGATGGATGGATGGATGGATGGATGGATAGACAGACAGAATGATATAGTATAATAGATGGATAATGGGTGGATACTGTAGATAGACAGATAGACAGACAGACAAAATGATATAACGATGAATGGATGGATGGATGGATGGATAGATAGAAAGATAGATCGACACATAGACAGACAGACAGAATGATATAACGATGGATGGATGGACAGAATGATATGATGATGGATAGATGGATGAATAGATAGACAGACAGACAGACAGAATCATATAACGATGGATAGATGGATGGATGGATGGATGGATGGATGGATAGAGACAGAAAGAATGAAATAACAATGAATAGATGGATAGATGGATGGATGGATGGATGGATAGACAGACAGAATGATATAGTATAATGGATGGATGATGGGTGGATACTGTAGATAGACAGACAGACAGACAGACAGACAAACATTGTGCTCCATATGCATCATTCAAGTATTGAGCAGTTGTTGTTTGCATATTCCTGAGCCTCATAAGTAGGGCTAAGCTTACTTTCTCAGGACTGAAATGAAGCATTAACATGCCACCGTTTTCTCAAACCGATGTGTTTTATTCAGCGATTCCCTGCCCAAGGTCTTCATTCAAACACAGGCGCAGAGAGACAATGAGTAAATATTTATGCTGGTCGAGCAGCAGAAGCCCAGTGCAGTCATTAACTTCTTAATGTCATAAACATTCCCGCAGGCCACAGATAAACCACTTTCACTATTTTCTTTTCTTACCTCCTCCAACATGCTGTCCATCCATCTCCCTGTGCCTGTGTCCAATGCCTCAAACTCCAGTCAGACACTTCTAAACCAATGCTCTTGAAAAAAAGGCACCATGACGTTATGTTATGAGCTGAAACAGATTCAAAATATTTTTTTGTGATAATTTTTTTTCTTTGCACTCAAAAGGTAAAATTTTTATTATAATTTTGTCAGTTAAATTTTTTTAATATCAAACATTTAGATTAAGTTGAAAAAAGGACATTTATGCATCAATTGGAAAAATTGACTATTATATATAATTTTTCTATAATACCCTTTTATTAGTTTTAGAGATAACATTGTAGTGCTGGGCAAAAATTCACTGCGATAAATCATATTCAAAATAAGAGTTTGTTTTGACATAATTTAAGTGTGTACTGTGTATATTTATTATGCATATATAAATACACACAGGGGAAGTACGGTGGTGCAGTGGGTAGCACAATCGCCTCACAAGAAGGCTGCTGGTTCAAGTTTCTGTGTGGAGTTTGCATGTTCTCCCCATGTTGGCATGAGTGTCCTCTAGGTGCTCCGGTTTCCCCCACAGTCCAAAGACATGCGCTATACAGTAGGTGAATTGAATAAGCTGAATTGGCTGTAGTGTATGCGAGTGCGTGCAAGAATGTGTAGGTGTTTCCCAGTGTTGGGTTGCGACTAGAAGGGCATTCGCTGCGTAAAACATGTGCTGGATAAGTTGGCGGTTCATTTCTCTGTGGCAACCCCTGATTTATACCCCCTGACATGACATGTTCTACATCAACAGTCTTTTCTGATCCTTCCTTTAACAAAAGGCCGATGAATTCTCCGTTGTAAGCGTGTAGATTCCAGAAGCACTCGAACAGCACAAGGCTGGGCTATAATGCTGAGGTATTTAAGCAAAAATAAACCTCAACCACTGACTCTCCACAGTTTCATCTTTGGGTAGAGAAGCACTAACTTTCCCCTCATACATCCAATAATATCCAGCTGAGCACAGCGTTGATTTAACCGGCGTCTGCTACAGTGTTTGTCTAGCCTCTTTTTATCATTGTTTACTGTACTTGTGGGCGGGACCGCAGGTTTCAATTTTCCCAGGTTTGCGCGTGCAACAACTGGGCGGGGCTTAAGTTTCATATCTGCGTCACGCCGAAACGGCTAAAGACTTGTTATCAAGACGGTTCATTTGAAGTAGTAGGAGTTGACTCTTTGATAAATGAATCAATAGTTTTAAACGCTGTCCACTTTCAGATTCAAACCTTAGCTGGATATTTCACTTCACTTAGAGCTGTGTTACACACTACATGGAAGGTCATTCTCAAAAACCCATTGTAGGGGCTCCTGAAACTATTTATAAATTGTCATTTAGAATTAATTACATGTATTTACCTGCGCATTTTTGCACATTATATTTCATGCAATGAATAATAGGGATGTAACAATATTGTAAATACCGTCATACCGCAATAGTAATTTTTTTCAATATTACCGTAGACGAATGACTCAATAAAACTATATTTCTAAGAAAAGTTTGCTTAGGCGAATGAAGTGAACGGGAGGTAGCGGGAACTACAATTCCCATGAGCCTAGACGAGGCCATCATCCTTTGCGGTCTGTTGGCACCACAGATCCAGTAATGCGGAAATGGAGTGTGTTGCTAGTAGCGGGGAAGAAAAAGAGCTGGAAATAATCAAACCTAAAGCGGGTTTTAAATCGGATGTGTGGAAGCATTTCGGTTTCTTTCTAAAAAGATACGAAAAAGGAGAAAAGGTGACAGACAAGGAAAAAAAAACAATTTGCAGGCACTGCCAGACTGTGGTGAAATATAAGTCGGGGAATACGACTAAAAACAGTCATGGGGACTGCAGAACACAGCACACTTGTTAGATTGATGCAGACATTGACTTGTACCGCAAAGAGACCTCTATCTCACTCATGGCTTGTCCTCTCAAGTGGTGGAAAGACAATGCACAGCGTTACCCACTGCTGTCAACATTGGCTAAATCATATCTCTCTGTCCCAGAAACCTCAGTCCCAAATGAGAGGGTTTTTTTCTGTTGCAGGGGACATGCCCAGAGATCCCAGCTTTTACCAGATTATAGTTATATGATAATTTTCCTTAAAAAACCCATCTCTATCTAAATGAGTGAGTGATTAAATGTTGAACGTGATGAGTTTTCAACAATACTAAATTGAAACTTTATTTTTTTTTTATATGGTTTAATAGTTTTTTGCTATTAAAATTGAAAAATTGAAGTTCCTGTTTCGAAACTTACTGATAGATGGCTAATTTTTATGTCATCGATATGTTCAGTGCTAAGGTAAATAAACACTTTTGGCAATTTTTTTCGAGTCTTTTCATTATTTTGTTTTTCCTGTAAATTATTCAATAAATACCATACCGTGCCATTCATACCGAGGTATTATAGTACTGTGAAATTCTGATACCGTTACATCCCTAGTGAATAAAACATCTACACTATGAAAATGATATGATCAATTAGTCATGACAACATGTGTTTTAGTTCATTGTAACTTATTAAACTAACTTAATCATGTTCTAACTTAATTTCATAAGTAACGCAAGCTGTTTTAAGTCAGTTTGAGTTCAATAGACTGATAAGGTTAATTTAATTCAGCTTAAATTTTAAGGTAACCAGGGTTTTTTTTATATAGTTTATGTAGCCTTCTAAAATCATTGAGATATAGACATCTCAGCAGACAAAGATTGTATTCAGACAAGCACTGGTCCCCTGTGTAAATATGTGCTACTTTTATAGAAATTTTTAAAGGTGCTTTTCATAGCCTGACAGCTCCTGGTCACTGTCTGCTTTCATTGTACAGAAACACAGATGCTTGGCTTCTCTTCACCACAGAGAAAACTGACACTTACTCACTCATAGTGTGTCTCCTGCAGTTTTTCACCTCGTTCCTCTGTCTGACTTTTACCTCAGCGACCTCGTGTGATCAGGAGCAGCTGTCGGCACAGGAAGAAGCAAGACAGCATAAAAACGAAGCGGTTTTCGTGCCTGACTGCGCCAGTGGTGGCCTTTATAAACCCGTCCAGTGTCATCCCTCCACTGGGTACTGCTGGTGTGTCCTGGTGGACACTGGGCGGCCCATACCCGGCACATCCACAAGGTAATGGATATTTCTCTAAAGTTCTGGATACTATGGCAAGTGTTTTATTTTTACATTTTTAACAATTTTAAATAAATAATTAAATGAAGATTTACTTTAGAATATATATATATATGTATACAGTTGAAGTCAGAATTATTAGCCCCACTGAAATATTAGCGCCCCTGTTTATTTTTTTCACCAATTTCTGTTTAATGGAGAGAAGACGGTTTCAGCATATTTCTAAGCATAATAGTTTTAAAAACTTATTTCTAATAACGAATTTATTTTGTCTTTGACATGATGACAGTAAATAATATTTTACTTGATATTTTTCAAGACACTTCTATACAACTTAAAGTGACATTTATAGGCTTAACTAGGTTAATAAGGTGAACTAGGCAGGTTAGGGTAATTAGGCAAGTTATTGTATAACGATGGTTTGTTCTGTAGATTATCGGGAAAAAAATTAGCTTAAAGGGGCTAATAATTTTGTCCCAAAAATGGTTTTAAAAAAATTATTAACTGCTTTTATTCTAGCCGAAGTAAAACAAATAAAACTTTCTCCAGAAGAAAAAATATTATCAGACATACTGTGAAAATTTCCTTGCTCTGTTAAAAATCATTTGGGAAATATTTAAAAAACAAAATAAAATCAAAAGGGGGATAATAATTCTGACTTCAACTGTATATATATATATACAGTGTCTGTCTGTCTGTCTGTCTGTCTGTCTGTCTGTCTGTCCATCAATCTGCAGTATCCATTCATAGATCCATCCATCCATCCATTCATCCATCCATAGTATCTATCCGTTCGTCCATATAAAAATCTACATTATCCATCCATCAATCTACAGCAGGGGTCTCAAACTCAATTTACCTGGGGGCCGCAGGAGGCAAAGTCTGGGTGAGGCTGGGCCGCATAAGGGATTTTACAAAAAAAAGTCCTCAAATGTCATTATTAACAGTTTTAATTATTTCTTCTGAACATGAAGTGTCCTGAACATTAATAGAACATTGAGTGAAGATTATGAACAGTTCTTCTGAACATGGCATCTTTTGCCTACTTCTTGCTGCCAGAGACTTGACAGCGCTTCTTCTCACAAATCTGAACCACATTTGGCTTTAGAGCGGAAGCAGTTGAGACCCTCAGTATGGCTTGAAGATGATCATCATTAAGTCTAGACCTGTACTTTGACTTATTGAAGTCCTAGGGAAAAAGTAGGGGAACTCACTCAAAACTTCCATTCCCTCACCTAAAAAAAAAAGGCGTATATATGTATAAATAAAACACCCCCACCCCACTCCAGTCACATCAGTCTGTACCAGTCTGTATCTACCTATAATATATATAAGATGCAGGGCAGGCACGTGCACACATAGGGCTCAACCTGTGCAGACAGAACACATGCCCTTTTTATTCTTGCATAGAAAGTGCCCTTCCAAAATGATCAAAAGTGCCCCTGCGACGCGACACACCCTTGGTCCCTCCCTTCAGTAGGCGCGCGATAACACCACTGATCAGAACGCGCGCGACAACGCGCATTGAGTGACAAGCGCGCTGTGTACAGATAGAATCAGCGGAGCGGGGAGCGCTCTCTCTCACCGCTCCGCTGAATCTGTCAGTGTACAGCGGTCGGCGCGGGCCACAAAATATCGCACTGAGGGCCGCAAATGGCCCGCGGGCCGCGAGTTTGAGACCCCTGATCTACAGTATCCATGCATTTACAGTTTCTGTCTATTTATCTGTCTGTCTGTCCGTAAATCTACAGTATCCATCCATCAATCTACAGTATCCATCCATCCATCCATCCTTCCATCCTGTCTGTCTGTCTGTCTGTCCATAAATCTACAGTATCCATCCATAGTATCTGACAGATGTTTAGACCCCCATAAATAATTATGTTATAATGTTATATTGCAGCCATTTGCTAAAATCAGGTTTTTTTTCTCTCATTTATGTACACACAGCACCACATGTTGACAGAAAAACACAAAACTGACGACATTGTTTCAGATTTATCAAAAGAAAAACCTAAAATATGACATGGTCCTAAGTATCCATATCCTTTGCTCAGTATTTAGTAGAAGCGCCATTTTGATCTAATACAGCCATGAGTGTTTTGGGAAACACACCTGGATTTAGGGATCCTCTGGCATTCCACCTTGCAAATGCTCTCCAGTTCTGTCGGGTTGGATGGTAAGCGTTGGTGGTCCATCCATTTTTAGGTCCCTCCAGAGATGCTCAATTGGGTTTAGGTCAGGGCTCTTTCTGGGCTATTCAAGAACAGTCACAGATGTGTTGTGAAGTCACTCCTTTGTTATTTAAGCTCTGTATATATATTAGGAAAACAATAGTATAATTTTTTTTACATATGTAAATTTGTATTAACTTGATTTTTATATGCCAACTGGAAGATATTACATAAAAACATGATAATAATTTATTTGATGCAACTACAACACTGCAAAAATAAGAGTTCTTACTTGGTCATTTTGTGTTGTTTTCCATTACACACATTTACTAAAGTAAAAAAAAAATCTAACACAATTTAGACTTTATGTACTATATATGAGCCTAAGTTATTACGCAAGATAGAGAGTTTATCCTTAAAAAATAAGAAAATATCTGAACTTTGTTCTTGATTTAAGTATAAACCTTTATACAGTGTAAGTCAGAATTATTAGCCCCTTTTTTTCTTTTTATTTAAATATTTCCCAAATGGTGTTTAACAGAGCAAGGAAATTTTCACTGTATGTCTGATAATATGTTTTCTTCTGGAGAAAGTCTTATTTGTTTTATTTCAGCTAGAAAAAAAGCAGTTTTTCATTTTTAACAACCATTTTAAGGTCAAAATTATTAGCCTCTTTAAGCAATGTATTTTCTTGATTGTCTACGGAACAAACCATCGTTATACAATAACTTGCCTAATAACCCTAACCTGTTAATCTAAATAACCTAGTTAAGCCTTTAAATGTCACTTTAAGCTGTATAGAAGTGTTTTGAAAAATATCTAGTCAAATATTATGTACCGTCATCATGGCAAAGATAAAATAAATCAGTTATTAGAGATGAGCTATTAAAACTATTATGTTTAGAAATGAGTCTTAGAAAAAATCTTCTCTCCATTAAACAGAATTTGGGGAAAAAATAAACAGGGAGGCTAATAATTCAGGGATCTAATAATTCTGACTTCATCTCTATCTTCAGAATAAAGTAAAAGTCCTGTATCCTTAAGTTTTTAATTTTAAATTTATAAGGAAAAACAAAAGTATATTAATTATAGAATCAAATGTAACACAATTTGTACTTTATGTACTATTTATAATATATTAAGATGTAAATCATATTTAAAATGTAATACAATTAAATGGGTTTAACCTTAAAAAATAATAAAATATCTGCCAAAGATATTTGTCCTTGATATAAGGATAAACTTACACTACAAAAGTCTTGTTATCGATCTCAGTTTTAAGAGCAGAAAATAATAACCTGACATGTAGATGATCATTTGTAAAATCATCTGTTGAACTGCATCCCAATCATCTCAAATACTGCAGAGGACCTATTGGAACCCGCATGGACTCATGATTCTCATAGAAATCAGTCAAGTTTGGTAAGGAAAAATCATAGTTTGGGGTTGCATTGAGCATAAATTGAATTGAATTCATGGGGGTGTGCGAGAGATCTGCAGAATGGATGGCAACATCAACAGCCTGAGGTATCAAGACATTTGTGCTGCCCATTACATTACAAACCACAGGAGAGGGCAAATTCTTCAGCAGGATAGCACTCCTTACCCTTCAGCCTCCACATCAAAGTTCCTGAAAGCAAAGAAGGTCAAGGTGCTCCAGGATTGGCCTGCCCAGTCAACAGAAACGAACATTATTGAGCATGTCTGGTGTAAGATGGAGGAGGCATTGAAGATGAATTTAAAGAATCTTGATGAACTCTGGGAGTCCTGCAAGACTTTCTTTGCCATTCCAGATGACTTTATTAATAAGTCATTTGAGTCATTGCAGAGATGTATAGATGCAGTCTCCAAGCTCTTGAAGTCATACACAATATTCATTCTTTTTCCACTGCAGCATGACTTTATATTTTATATTGCATATAATTTCTGTTAAGTATCAAGACTTTTGTCTAAGCAAATTCAGACCTTACTGTCCTAATTAAATAATTAAAAATCAAGGCATGATCATATTTTATTTTGGCAAAATAAGCATAATCTAGGGTTTTTTGTCTTTCATATAAGCCACTTATGATACCAAATGATCAACTAGAAGTCAAGTTATCATTTGTTGTCCCTAAAACTTAGACAGATGAAAGGACTTTTGTCAGGTAGTGTATATATCTTGTCAAAATCTTGTATTCTTATTTAAGTTGATCATTTTCACATATTTTGCAGTCCATTTTTTCAGCTTTAACAACATGTTACTTAAAAAAAATAGCTCTGGCGCCTGAAAGAAACAAATCCGTCATTATTTACTTGCCAAAATACAACTTAAGCAGTTTGTCCCTATTGAAAGGAAAAACCCACCACTTGGCTTTTAAAATGGTAAGTGCCAGTCGACCTGCTCTTACAGTACATCTAATATACACCCGGGGCAGGTCTCATTATTCACCTCACTATAGGGTACAAAACTGAGCTCAGGAGTCTCTCGGGGGCCAAATCCCATTCAGCCTCTTTTAACATTTCCAGAGCAGCTTTCTGTCCCGCAGTCAAATGAGAAAAGCATCTCATCATACTATCAAACAATTTTAACCCAATGCTTATCTGTGAAACCAGCTCAAATCTGATTAAGAATCCTGGCAGAGCAGCAAAACAACAAAATGGATTGTGTTTGCCAAGGGTCAGCGGCACTCTCTGCATTCAGGGGCACAGTTAATGAGCTTTATTGAGCAATGCTGTGGATTTCTGACCATCGGCGAATGTGGTGTTGAATTAACAAAGCCTTAGGCATTGTGCCAGACAGCGCATTAGAGCATGCACAGAAAGTGCTGCCTTCCCATCAGCCTCCTTTCTCTTGTTCTTTGCAATTTGGGCAAGTCGTCTGGCACTGATTGCAGCTAATTTACCCTCCTAAAGGGCTCATGAATGTTTCTTCACGTTTTCTTTTTGTCCGCTCACTTCCTTCCTCAGGTTTGGGCATCTGTGAACTGTCCTTCTGGGCACCGTGTGTTCTCTATGGAAAGATAAAGGGATCAAATAGTCTTTAAAAGTGGCATAGTCATTTAGATGCGCTGAATGATGATATAGGTCAACAAGCAATATATAATTATCTCTAAATGATGTTAAAATAATAATGAAAATTCTTTATTCACTTTTGACTTGAAGTTTTCATGAAAACATAACACAAAATGGTGTACATCATGTATATATGTTTACAAAAGTATCTCAGAGTTATTACATGATAACAGCTAGAACATGCACCAAAACTCTAGCAAACAACACAGCCATTATAGAGCATCCAGACTAATGAAATAAGAAACAAATTAAATTGACATGTATGACAAACGGGCAGACAGACAGACAGACACTATGGATGGATCAATGGAAGGATGGATGGATGGATGGATAGTATAGATTTTCGAACGGAAAGATAGATAGATAGATAGATAGATAGATTCTATGGATGAATGGATGGATAACTGTAGATTTACGGACAGACTGATGGACGGACGGACAGACAGACAGATACTATGGATGGATACTGTAGATTTATGGACAGACAGACAGACAGACAGACAGGATGGAAGGATGGATGGATGGATGGATGGATACTGTAGATTGATGGATGGATACTGTAGATTTACGGACAGACAGACAGATAAATAAACAGAAACTGTAGATGCATGGATACTGTAGATTGATGGATGGATAATGTAGATTTTCATATGGACGGACGGATAGATACTATGGATGGATGGATGGATGGATCTATGAATGGATACTGCAGATTGACGGACAGACAGACAGACAGACAGACAGACAGACAGACAGACAGAAAGACAGATAGACAGATAGACAGATAGATAGATAGATAGATAGATAGATAGATAGATAGATAGATAGATAGATAGATAGATAGATAGATAGATAGATAGATAGATAGATAGATAGATAGATAGATACTATGAATGGATGAATGAAAGGATGGATGGATGGATGGATGGATGGATGGATGGATGGATGGATGGATGGATGGATGCTGTATATTTAAGGATGGATACTGTAGATTTACGGACGGACGGACAGACAGACAGACAGACAGATAGATAAATAGATAGATAGAAAAATGGATGGATGGATGGATGGATGGATGAATGGATGGATGGATGGATAGATAGACAGAAACTGTAGATACATAGATAATGTAGATGATGGATGGATGGATACTTAACCATCAACCATAATAGATGGTTGGATGGAGGGATGGATACTGTGAATGGATGGATGGATGGATCTTACTTTATCTCTTCACTAACTCATTGTTTTTAGACTTTATTTTACTTTAAAAAATATTAGATATAGTTAATCTAAAAATGAAGCGTCTGCCAGCATTTACTCTTTGAGGGTTTTTTTTTTCTTTTCTTTTTTTTCTGTTGAACACACAAGAAGATATTTCTTAAACATTGAACGCCTGTGACAAATACTTTGGAAGGGAATAGTTACAGGTTCCAAACATTCTTCAAAATATCAGACTATCCCTTTAGCTTTTTTTCCCAGCATTGGTGGAATGTTTGAGCTGTTTGACTCATCTTTGTGTAAACAATAATGCTTTGTATTCACTGTCATTCCTCCTTTACTATTTTTTCTCTCTGACTGTGTAGACATGAACAACCAAAATGTGATGGAAACGCCAGAGCTCATCCAAACAAACCCAAGGACCATTACAGGAGCCGACACCTGCAGGGTGAGCTTAACTGTGTACTTCTGGCATGGGGAAATATTGTGCAAGCTTTGCAACAAGAGTGAAACTTTACAGACACTTTATAGAAACAAAGCTACAGTATTAAACAGCTTCACTAGTAAAAGGGATCTCCAGTAAACAAAACATTTATTATGCCTTTTTGAAAAGCTTTTGTAATGTAGCTTGTACAGTCTGAAATAAATACAGTCACTTGCATTTCCTACACAAACACATGTAGGTTTGTAAAATATTTGCACAATGCAGCTATGGTCTTCAAGGGCTGACAACAAGAAATGTTTACTTTGAGCCTCAAACACACTAGTGCCCTGATTTTTTTATTATTATTTTTTTTTACAAAAAAAATTACACATTTTTTAAGGAAAGTGGTTGCAAACAATTTATATGAGCTAAATTTAAACAAACAATTTAAGTTGAACATTACAACATTTAATTTGTGTGTTTAAATTTACCCCAAATAAATTGTTTGCAACCACTTACCTTAAAAAAATTGTAAATGCAATGAATAATTTTTTTCATTGAGGTGTCTGGGACCTGAGAGAGTTTAGTTTGTGTAACTAATATGTCGCGAACATGCTGCTTTTGAACTGTGAAAGTAAATCCACTTCTAAAGGGTAATGAACTTGGGTTTGAATTGATACGATAAAACAAAAACTGAACTCTTTACACATATGAATGCATCATCAGATGCAGAAATTCTGGTTTCCAACACATGCTGTAAGCAGTCGACCAATCACTACAGTCTCGGACATGAACTTGCCAATCAGAGTAGAACAGACTCTTGGGAAGGCAGAGTTTAGAAAGACAAGATCCTTTTCAGACACTGGTTAAAAATAACACCCGTGTACATTTCTGGAGATCACAAATTATGACGTCGCTGACGGCTTCTGTGTTTTTTCGCGCTACTATCTGACCGGTTACCTCCATGTGGACGGCTTTTCCGCTGTTACCAGTTTACTCAGTAGCTCGCCATGTATGTCGGCAGACTTGAGACACGGAGAGGAGTTCACTGCAATAACAGGGTTCGAGTCTGGTAAAAACAAGTTTCCAGAAAGCAGGTAAAACTAAAACAAAAGGCAAAAAAAAAAAAACAAGTAAATAACAGGGTGAGAATGTGGTAGGATCTGAAAACATGGTAAACGTCAGGGGAGGGCTTTTCTTTTTCTGGATTGAAAACACTGTCGGTTGGGTTTAGGGAAATTGGTAATCGGGTCAATTGGTGTTTTTAAACACTGTTAGTTGGGATTAGGGGAGGGAGTGAGCGGGTGTTATCTGTCGGTCAGTCAGATAGTCGACAGCGGCCTCTAGTGGATTTACGCAAGAACAGAAGGTGTGAATGGCACTCGCAAGAGAAATGTGAGATTTGAAAAAAACGTACACAGTGGCCTCAGCGGTTGACAAATGGTTTATGTGTTTCCTTAATTTGTTTTGTAAAGTTAATCAGGTTTCAGCTTTTTTTGTCATAAAAGTTATTTTTTAGTTATACTTTTTAAAAAAATGTTTAGTTATAAGGTTAACCTTATATTTTTAGTCAATCTGACGTAAGTTTAGATGACTACAACTAAATTAAAAAATGTTAGGAATCAAGAACTTTTTATAGGGTGTTAAAAAAAAGAGCAGCAGTCATGATAAAATTTGTGTTTATTTTGACTTCGGATGGATTTAAAACGATCATATAGAAAATTCTAAAAAAAAAAAAAAAAAAAACATTCAAAATAGAATAAGGGGCACTTTAAGGTCTGTTAGAACGAGAAGTTGCTGAGACTTTTATTTCAGTATGTTGATGCACTTCAAATTTAAGCAAAATATTGTGTAGGGGGTGGGGCTTTTTTTTTTGCGCATCATTTCCTCATAGCAATCTTATGGTTAGAGGGGCGTGGCTAAGAATATTAACAACAAACTGATGTCAACAGCCACAGCTATATCACGCTGTAGCCCAAGACCGATTACTCACTGAAGTTAAGCAGGGCTGAGCCTGGTCAGTACCTGGATGAAAGGCCATATGGGAAAACTAGGTTACTGTTGGAAGTGGAGTTGGTGAGACCAGCAGAGGGCGCTCTTTGTGACTCTTTGTGGTCATTTAATCCACTTCTCGTAAAGGTGTCCTAGCCAAATTCTCTCTGTAGGCCCTTACCTATCATGGCCTCCCAATCCACCGAACTGGCTCTATCACTGTCTCTCCACTCAAGTGGATGCTGCACACTGGTGGTGGTGTGGAGAGACCCCCCTCATGACCGTGAAGCGCTTAGGGTGTATGTCCATAAATATAAATACACACATCACATTACATTACATTACAATAGAGAAGGACTGCAACTCCAAATGCGGAAGAAAATGGTAGGACTTTGATTGAAGATTACCTTAACCTTTTTTACAATGAACTAGCACAGGTTAATTGTTCACCTATACGACTAACAATGTGCGCTAGCAAAATAAACAGTCAATCTTGATTTCAATCAAACAATGAATACGTTCTGTGACTGCAGCACCTACTTGTTTGAATCATTATGCTAATTTGTTATTTGACATCAACTAATCAGAGCGAAACGCAAACAAAGTCAACTGAACGAAAAGTGTTAGCACTTTTCAATAAGATTGTATAAGTTAATGTTAGCTAACACATTTGCAAACATGAACGAACAATGAACGATACATTTATTACAGTAATTGTTCAGGTTAGTTCATGAAAATAAAGTCATTAATTTTCAGTTCGTGAACTCATGGTGCATTAACTAATGTTAGCAAGCATGAATTTAGATGTCAATAATGCATTAGTGAATGTTGAACTATGATTTATGAGTGTTATTCCATGTTAATATATACACTACCAAATGAAGCATTCTTGTAAAGTGTGACCCGACAAGTCAATATAAAGAACAAAGATGTCTGTTTTGGCACGTGAGCTCAAGTATGCACAGGTATGTGTGTGTGTGTGTGCGTCATCTACAGTCTAAAACCGTCTCCAGGTTTCCCACGACCCTTGGGTCTGCATAGACGACAGATGTTAACAGATCATCTCACTGAGGAAAGGGGAGGTTGCAAAGATAGATTACAATAGATAGCACGAGTCTAGGAGGATGACAAGGAGGGATGAGTGTGGGGGAGTGGCTGTGATGAAGAGCAGAGGAAGAAGGAGTGGAGGGCAAAGGTAAAAAAAACTGCAAAAAGGAAATGAGGGACTTATTGAAGCTGCCGATTAGACTAAAGTGAGCAGCTGATTAATGTGGATTGGGTGATATATTGATCTTTTACATCCTGTATTTTGTATTTTTAATGGTGATATACAGTTGAAGTCAGAATTATTTACCCCCAATTATTTTTTCCCCAATTTCTGTTTAACGGAGAGATTTTTTCAACACACTTCTAATCATAATAGTTTTAATACCTATTCTCTAATAATTGATTTATTTTATCTTTGCCATGATGACAGAAAATAATATTTGACTAGATATTTTTCAAGACACTTCTATACAGCTTAAAGTGACTTAACTAGGTTAATAAGGTAAACTAGGCAGGTTAGGGTAATTAGGCAAGTTATTGTATAACGATGGTCTGTTCTGTAGACTATAGAAAAAATATATAGCTCAAAGGGGCTAATAATTTTGACCTTAAAATGGTTAATAAAAAATTAAAAACTGATTTATTATAGTCAAAATAAAACAAACAAGACTTTGTCCAGAAGAAAAAATATTATCAGACATACTGTGAAAATTTCCTTGCACTGTAAAAAAGATTTTTTTGGAAATATTTAAAAAGGAAAAAGAAATTCAAAAGGGGACTAATAATTCTGACTTCAACTGTTTATATACACTGTAAAAATACTGCAGTCAAAAAAATTATTACTGCTGCTTGTTCAAACTACCTGTTAAAAATGAGTTGAAACAACAAAATTCTTGTAATTTCTTTGGCCAATGTGTGTGTTTCATGTTCAGTCCACTTAAATTTGTAATTAAAAAAAAATTCACTTAAGCATTTTGTGTTGAGACAACATAAAGGAATTGTGCTCGTCCAATTACCTGGTTAGGGAATTTGTAGTTCCCAGCATGCTTTAAGTAAGATTGAATTAAGAGAGTGAAATGTTGACAAGAAAAGTAAGAGACGTTTAAAGTTAATACACTGAAAAAAATGTTGTCTGCAGAACTGTTGCAAACAATTTATTTGTGTTGAATTTAAACAAACAAATTCAATTTAATAACGTTCAATCTAATTTATTTGTTTAATTTCAGCCCATATAAATTGTTTACAAACACTTAAAAAAAAAAAAAATTGAGTAAATCCAAGGAATCATCTGTGAATATTTTTTTTCAGTGTATAAAAGACTTGTTAGAGTTTAATCTTCACTTTAGTTTGAAGATTTAGAAGAGTAAATGCTTTGAGTTTTGAGTCTACCGCCTTGCAGAAGCATCCATGCTTTGAGTATGTAGAAATACAGGTTGTTGCTTTGCTCAGTGAGCAATAACTGTCCTAAAATGAGATCTGAGATCAGTCTCAATCAACTGTATATGTAACTTATGAAATATGCTTAAAATGACTCTTTTAGTTCATTTAGGATAACTTCAAATAAAAAAAAGACTTTGAAATGATATTATCAGGACTTTGAGTTTAGGTTCAATAAAAATACAAATGTATTTAAACTTTTGAAAATACTTTTGCATTTATAAATTCTCAATTGCATAAACAAGTTTGTTGGATGGAAATCCTGCCCTCAATTATATTCAATTCATCCAATGAGTTTTTTTTTTTTTTTTTTTTGAGAGTGGGTTCCACACAATAGCTTATGTTGTCCCAACCAAATTGATTATTATTATTGATTAACCCAAGTTAATAGTTTTTACAAATGGATAAGTGGACTGAACATAACACATTTAAGTTGTCGCAACAAAACTTGTTGTCAACTCATTTTAACCAAGTAGTTTGAACAAGCAGCAAAGGTCATTTTTTGAGTGTACTATTGTTCAGAAGTTTGTGAATTATTATTATTTATT